TAAATCTATTAATCAATAGGAGTTTTATTCCATCAACTGTATAGTTCTAGTTTAGTTGTTGCAGTGTAATTTAAAATCTTTTCTGTTGTCAGATAAGTCAGACTTTATTCATTCGTAGTTGTATCGTATATATTTTAATTGCTTTTGAATTTTGTATTAGTATATATTACAATTTTACAGTTATATAAAAACGGCGAGTGCATAAGAAAATATTGAAAGCACAAGTACTCGTAAACGACCTAGTGGACATAAAGCATTATCTTTAAAAGAAAAAAATATCGTACCTAATGAATTTAATAATCTTCGAAAAGACTTTGTTTCACTTTATGTGGATGAAATAGCCACTAAATGTGAGACCTATACTGGAGTATCTAAGCGGACAGTGCATAACATTATTAAAGACGATACAGTTATTGGAGAAGTCTCACATCCGAAAAAGCCCCCAGGAAGAAACAAGACCTTTATTGAAACTTGGGTAAAGAATGTAATAAGACAAATGGTACATTCGTTTTTCTTTCGAAAGGAAATTCCTACACTTAAAAAATTACACTCAGAAATAGAAAGTAGCCACACTCTTCCAAATATATCACATTTTCATCTGCAAAAAATTAAAATTTTGTTACAAAAAAAGTGACATAGAAAACATGATTAATTAAGAAAAATAGAGGACGCAAGGAATCAACATAAACAGGTATTTTATGTAGATGAAACATGAGTTAATGTTGGACATACAATAACAAAAATTTGGAAGATACCTCAATCAAAACTAAAAAAACCCTTTATGGAAGGGGTCTCTTGTAAATTAAAAAAATCCAACAAGAAAAGGAAATCGTTTGATAATAACCCATATTGGAAACACCGTTGTAGTTTTGCCAGATGGTTTATTAATGTTCGAGTGAGTCAAAACAAAACAAGAAATGGATGGTCCTATGTTTGATAATTGATTTCAGAACATTATAAAAAAATCCAGCCAGCCCCGTCATTGTTTTGGCTAATGCATCCTATCACAGTTGATTAAAGGAGTCACTGCCAACAATAAAATGGAAAAACGAAGATATTTCAAAATGGCTTCATTCTAAAAATATTATCAGTCCTCCTAAATCCTTGAAGACAGAATAATTAAATTCAAAAATATATTATAGACGAGATGGCCCGACAAAAAGGAATTGAAATTCTCAGATTACCTTCTTCTTCTTCTTCTTCTTTTTCTTCTTCTTACCACGCCGAGTTAAATCCCATTGAATTGATCTGGTCACAATTGAAAGCTTATGTTTCTCGAAATAATACAACATTTAAATTACCTGTTGTGCGAAATTTATTTTTGAAGGCAGTTTCAGATGTAAATGGAGAACATTGGAGAAAGTGCAATAATCATGTTAAAACGGTGGGATTTTCATTTTGGAAAGTGGCTATAGCAATGGAAATCTTAATAGACCCTATAATAATAAACCTCAAAAAAGGCAATAATAATGATACCAGTAGTTATAGTAAAGATAGTGACTTTTAAAGATAGTTTTTTTTTTATTTTTGATTTTAGGTACTGTATGGTATTGTAAAGTTTTAATGTCAAGATATTAGAAAAACTTTAATTCCAATAACAACACAAAATCCTCCTTGTTATTTTTTATTGGTTAAATTTAATTTGTTCAATGTTAAAGTGTAACAATTTTGTCAAGAGCATAGGATCATTTTTATTTTTTGTGCCGTACCCTTATTTATATTATAGAAATTGATTTTGCAAAGTAAGCCTATGGAATGTGACGTTATATCCCCACTTTTACTGCACTCCTCTTTTATTCAGACTATAATTAAAAACTTTATTTGTAAATACCTACTGTTCAAGTGTATGACAATGGGAAATGTTAATAAAAATCGTGTGTATCAAGATCGATTTGTTGACCAGGAATATTGTCCATTAGGCGAAATTCAACAACTAGTAATTATTTTTCTATAAATAAAATTTATGGTCCCTGCTTAATGTTTTCAGAAGCTTTTTTGAAGGAATTTATTATTTTTTGCAACATTTTTGAAACACAAGTAATCATGAAATTAAAATGATTTTGTACTTATCGAAGGTTATACAGAACCTTCAAATTACGGGATAAATCTATCTGCTTAAACAGTAAATAGTGTAAATCATATTAATCATTTTCAAACCTCCCTAAATTAAAATTTTGCTGCGTGTAGCTCCCACAAAGCATTTATTTTTCAATACCTATCTATCTTATTATAGTCCACAGTTTTGTCCTAGAATTTTGAGCCTACCGTTAGATATATTTTGTAAGTGGGTTGTGGTAGACGTTATTTAAAGTATATAGTCTTTTCAGTACATAATATTTTGTAGAGTTGTATAACATATTGTTTTCTAAATGCTAACAAAAATACATTTTGTAATATCACAATTTCATTGTATCTAAATGTTTACAAATTATTATTTTATACCGTATTGCTTATTGAGAAATTTCTATAAGTAAAAGGCATTAAAAAAATGATAAATTACTGCCAGAGTTTTGAAATTAGTTGGTTAATTTTTGTGATTGATTTGAAGTAGGGGCGCCATTATTATCTTGAAAAAAACAGAACATAACTAGGTATTCAATAAAAGAAACTAGACGACAAAGTTCATATTCATCTTTTTAAATAGGTTCATTTTGTATTAATCTTTCAAGAATGATGATCCTCTGTAATTTTCAAATCAAAGGTATGTGACACGAGTTTTGTATTTGTCTATATTTCATAGGCCCTTTGAAATTCAACCAAACGAAACATTAAAAGTTTCTTAATTTCATATCTATTCTACAAACTGTATTTACTTCAAATATTCTTGTTTTTTAATATCAATATAACAATGAAACAATACTCAACTGTACAGTTTTATTTTCTTTTAATTTGGAACATAAATGTTTTTAGTATTTGTTTTGTTTACTGTATGCCCTATTAAGTTAAACAACTGCGTTTTATTATTAGCATAACATAGTTTTCAGGATGGAATCTGAAAAATTACTGGTAATGATGTCAGATAGACATACAAACCCGATAACACCATTTTATTGATTTATATGAATTCTGATTTTCTACTACAAAGCTTTTTTTTTTTGGTGTGTCATCGGCTTCAACTGCTAAGGTTATTTCGCCTCGTGTTCTGTGTAGGCTTTGTTACTGTTTCCCAGCGCCACTTTAGGAACAGCACTGTTAATTAGAACCCAACAGTGAATGGTCGAGTATTATTATTATGATTATTATTAATATTATTACTATTAATATTATTTGATTTAAAATCGTTTAAAATTTACCAAATATCTTTAACATTACCAACTAATTTCATTAGCAAATAAAATAATAATAAAATAATAACTAAATTATTTATAAATTCAAGATGTGAGCAAATTATAATTTTGTTATTTTTGTGAAGGTCTGGTAAAAATTCACTCTTTAGTTACATAATTTATCAGAGACAAAATCCATTCCTAGCCATACGAAACTTAAAACTTTTATTTATAATCTCGAATAATATATTTATCCGTTGTCTATTTTTACATTCCTGCGCCCAAATTGTATGGCAGAAGTTCAAATTAAAATATTTAAGTAAGAAGCAAAACGATTGTTTCACACATTTTTAAATCCTGCTTACATAGGTGGGGGTTAAAATGTTGACATTAAACAATAGGCTACCTAACTATTGTATTTTATGAATGAAGTAATATACGGAGCCAAATTTTGAAGGCTAGCAGATTTATTAGTAATTTTCTTAAAACTGTTTATTATCTATGTTAACAATGTTATCTTCTGAATTATATTAAAATATATGAACTATGTAGATGTTATGGCTTTGTGAAAATTATCTATCAAAATTGATTCATGAGTATATAAAATAGATGGTACTTATGCCAATGGTTTGATAATAATATTATATTACCTATCAATAATGGTCCTTAAGGCTTTTTATGATAAAAGAATGTGTAGTTGTAAATACTGTCTTAGATAATATACATATACAGGCAAACCTTTAGGGATGGTAGAGGACATCAAAATAAACTTTTTTTGTATAATAAACACATGTTCAAAAACGCTTTGTTTCCACCTATGGAAATTTTAGATATATGCTAATAGGTGTAAAAGATATCAACAAACTTTAACCACCCTGTATCTCGGAAACTAACGTTTTCGATCATATGTTTATTTTGCAAATAATGCTAATGTTTTCTACCACCCCTATATATTCAAGAGATATTGTGTATTTAGAAGTATCTAAAAGAACGTTCTATAAATTAAACAAGAACAAATCCATTAATAATTCTACCTACTATAACCGAAGAATTGTAATCCATAAGTATCATATAAATTTTGTATACGTTCATTTATCTTAAACTAATTATTAGGAAAAGCGAAATATAATTTTCCTTTAAACGTCCCAGTTTCCATTCTTGCCTTGAATGAAAATCTTTAGAAAATTCACTCAGCACCATGTAGAATGAAAAGTGGGACGTTTAACAGGAACATTATATTTAGCTTTTTTATTAATTAGATAAAATCTACATGTCCCTCAAAACGGAACTGTATTCTGAAACACCACATGTATCCAAAAAAAGCCTAATTTAGCTTAATTGCACAAAATAACATTTTTAACGGTTGCTAAGATAACTACGATTACTTAGTTCAAAACTATATACCAAATTAAAGAAAATCATGAAGAAAACTAAAACAAAACACATTATTTTTAAAAGTAAAATAATTTTAAAGCACATGAATCAAAAATAGTCATCATATTAGCCTTTTCACTCTATTTAAAGATAAAAAATATCAAATACAAATGGAACTATAATTATAGAACCCAGATGGAGTTTTATAACAACCGATTTAGATTATGTCATACGTCATTAACCTAATTTAGCGAAAAACTACGTAACAAACCTCGCACTAACATCCAAAAAGAACGCGATTTAAGCAGAATTAATCCTTATTATATAAATTAGCACTCTTAAGAAGATCAAGCAACTTACAGCGGGTGATAAAAGAGGTCTAGGAGCACCACACAACTCTGGGAGTCCGGCAGTGACTGCCCGAATCCCGATTTCCAGCTCAAATTCAGGGAGAAAAGTCTTATGTGCGCGCGCATACTCCTACACCGACATTTTCTGGCAGGATTTTTATTTAGAAAAGTCTAGTTTTACGTTTCGGCATTGCTACATTTGCAGATTTATATAGTTGGGAGGTTTAGATGGTGTTTTATTGGTAACTGAATATATGATAGGCCAGGCCACACGGTAAAAAAAAACTTTGTTTAGATTGCAGTTTTCAAGAAAAGGAAGAAAACTGATTTTACAAATTATCGTGGTTACCAGCAGTTTCGAAGATTTACCAATAAACATTTCAGACTAGTCTTGAAAATTATAACGAGTCTTCAGCAATGCACGTATCCCGCGTGATATGGTAAAAAAAGAAATTTAAGAACTTTTATGACAACTAAAGTATCAGTTCTGTCAAATAGGAGTATGACATTGTTTTAGGATTACTACTGAAGTTACTATTGCTACTTTTTATTTAGTGACATGGAGTAGGGCTATTTTTGAAGAAATTTTATTTATATATTTTATTAACATATTTGAATCCCCTTTAATTCGGTTTCCACAAAGGTATTTCTACTTTAGTTGCAACTCTTACGTTATTTAACCATAAAATCATAAATGTTTTATATTGTTTTTTTTTATCTCTCTCGAGCTTTCGAGACTCTCAATCAAGAATTACTTTTACGAAACCTTAAAATATACAGGGTATCCCAAAATTGCTGTGACATAGAGCTACCGTATATTGTAGAATTCAAAATAATTTGATTGAACTCAATTTATTAATACCAAATTGTACCGTTTTTCCGTGACAAGTTCAATGTTTACATAAAAAAACCACATTTTTGTACGCTACTCTGAAATTCGTGAAAATTTTTTTATGAAATTTTGCAAAAGTACATTCTATAGGATTACCCTACTTTCAGTAATGAAATAAACCCAAATACAATTGTAAAAGAGATAAAACCCCTATTGTCCCCTGGTATTTTTTTAACATTTTCTTAGGGGTGATAATATATTTTCAATACTTTCTTTGAAGGGAATATCTACTCATTGTATTTATTTTAAGACTTTTGTAAAAACGTATTTTGCATAGTTTCGAAGGATAAAAATGTTTTCTCAAACACTGATACCAATAACCTTAGTACCTATAAGTTAAATAAAATTGTAATTCAATTAGTAGTTGGCGATGGACACAAAGAATTTTTATAACAACAGTTTGGGCTCATCGAGGTGTTTCAGCGTTAATTCTGACTGGCTTTAACATTCCTGTTTAATGACGATGTCTTTTGATTTGTGCAAAATTTTGTGTTTCGAAATTCTCCGGATTTGATACACGCGGACGCTTCTGTATCTGTACCATGTGGAGGGTGAGTTACCCTCACTGCCAGAAAGGGTCACATGTATTTATGGACAAAACATCATGCCAAACGCGGTGCTTCTGTAAGTAGTCTTTAAGTTTCTTAACGGTAAAAATAAAGTAGATGACCTCATTATATTTACGGAGAACTGTCCTGGTCAAAAAAACAAAAAAATGGCTCCTTGTGTCATTTTGATAGCAGCTAATTAAATAAAAAAGATTAAAAACAATAACTCACCATTTTCTTGTTGCCATCGGAATGAAACTTTGCCTTGATAGAAAAAGGAGCAGAAAATATGCTTCTGAAATGTATTCTCCGGAAACTTGGTAAAGTATACTAATAGCAAGAATCCTTTTAGAGTAACAGTTATGGATTGTTTGCAGTTTTAAACCTATTTTAGAGAACATACAAGAGTGCCCATACTACCAACAAAAAAAATTTAAACTATTCTGGAGTCCATATCGAAATTAAAAAAAAAATTAGTAGCAATAAAGAGTACCTACTCATTTTATATAGTAAGTCCCTAAAAAAAAAATTTGCGGAAAATCCACAAAATTTTAAGAAAAATGAATCAAAAGTTGTAATGTTATTAGTCCAATTAAATAACGAAAAAAAGCCCCTTCGAGCTTACATTAATTTGTAATTGAATGAAACAAAGTGGACCTTGTGTACTTTGATGTGATCTTTCCGAAAAAAAAAAATGATGTAGCTGTTTTTCAATTTTTTTTAAATTAGGAAAAACCGGGTTTTCCGGAATTTTCCATGGTAAAAATACTAATTATCTGGGCAAGTATCGTTCTGATAATAAAAATAAATGCACCAATCGAATGAGGAGGCACAGGTAGTTTTAATGGCGAATTTCTCGCCGCCAGAAGTGCTTTTACCAAAAAGTTATTTTTTCGTTTCTTTGATCAGAATCATGAACATGAAATTTGCGATGAATTTGTGGCGAAATTATAAATGTTAGACATATGTGCCATGATAGAAGTATTTTTTTGTGGACTTTCAAATAAAATAAGTCCCGCGGCGAAATCTGCCATAATTTTTCGGGAATTTGCAGGAAACCGGAAGGCGTAAATTTTTTTTTATTTTTTTCCCATATGATTTTCTCCGGGTTTTCCGAAAACATCTAACAAAAAATATATTTGAAGAAACTAACTGCGCCATCGGAAAGAGCAAAAAAAAAATATACAAAAAGGTATACTTTAAAAATGTTAGGAAATTAATCCTAAGCTTGAGTGTAAGTTCCAACTTGGTGATAAGCTTGTTTTTTGTTCTCTAACATCTGGTTTTCTTCTCGGTTGATGCTCTATCCTCCTTTTTTTTGGCATTGTCAATCGCGGCCCTTTTATGCCTATCCCAGGTTTTATAAATAAACTTTTTTCCGTAACGTCGAGCTACGTAATGTTTGCGACACCTCTCATGCAATATAAAACCTGGTTCTAAAGAACTGAAAAAATCATCCCCTCTCTTTGCTGACCATCTGCAGACCTTTTAATCCTGTCGGTCTTATTGGGGTAAGTTCACCATCTGCAAGTTTCTGATGACATAATAAACACAGGCCAGCCATTGCAACCTGGAAACAAAAAAATTATAGCACTGTGATAGAATTTTCTTAATTTAAGAACGTACTTACTCAATAAATTGCTGAATAAGTCCGAAAAACCACGTGTACACAGAGCTTGCTGAACACGGTTATTAAAAATCTATGCCGATGAACACTATCAAGCGATTCAATTTGTAATAATATGACCGTTTCAAGTTTAAACTTGTCGGATAGCGAACGCCGAGACCATGGCTATCCTTGATACGACGTCCGGCTAATTTTGCGGTAATTCTATTTTTTGCACAAAACTCAAGAAACGTCTTATAAAAAGTCAGTAAAATAAAATTTAATAAATTTTAGGCCTAATAAATTTAGGTATGTAAGAAATTTAAAACTGGAAATCACAAAAAAATCAAATTACAGAAATGCACGAGTTTTGGATCCCGCGGAGCGCGTGTAATGGGACTTTTGTCGGGAGAATTCTACAACTTAGAAGAAACATACACACTTTAAACTTTGTACACACATTCATAAGACATAAGATTTGGGTTTGCTTAATTTTCAGACCAAAAAACTAAAAATCGTCAACTTTTCTCAAAAACCGTGTTTTTTGGTCGTCACTCAATGAACAGTGGTCAAAAAAATAGATAAAATATTTTTGCAGAATTTTCCGTAATGTAATCGTATTCTAGACATAATAAAGTATTTTCTAAAAAAAGTTTTGAATCATTGTGTGCATTTTTGGCATTTTTGTGCCACTTCAAACTTTCGAAAAAAAATTTAGTTTTTTTTTAGGGAAAAAAAATTGTTAAATTGTTTGATATCTTGGCCAATTATAATCCGATTTCGGTAAAATTCACACACGTATAAGATTTCATATTTATGAGTAAGCTCTGTAAGTAACATTAAAAAAATTTAAACAGTTTGGCCGTTATAGGCAAATAATGAAATTAGGCTTGCAGTACACTTTGTCCTTCCGCCATATGCCCAATTTTGAGATTTCTTTTGCCCCCTTCTGGAAATCAATAGCCACATCCCTTAAGTTGAAAATTAATTTTTGTTTCTTCAAATATCTTAATTTTTACCAAAGTTATTAAGAATTTAGTGTTTGAACATTTGACAAATTCAATTTTTCGACCTTCGCCGCCTCAAAATACTAAACAAATTTCAATCGTCCATACCGCGAGAACGGTGCATCGGATCAAAATTTCTCAAGAGACATAAAAATTAGCATTTTTTCTAAGCTTTCAAATGTCGTAAACTGAATTTTAAAAATATTGATTTATTTGTGACATGCGCATGCGCAAAATTGAAAAATTGACAAAATCCAAAATTTCGGCACTTTCGAAAAACTGCTACATTTTGTTTTGCTTTTTTTCGAAAAGATCACCTCAAAATACATAGAATCCATTTTGTTTCATCTAATTACAATTTAATGTAAGCTCAAAACCGGTAATTTAATTCGATTATATAGGTTATTTTGGTTTTACAATACTATATGCAGGTGACAATTTCGAAGTTTTAATAATAGTGTAATTAAAGTAACTTACTTTTGTTACATTTTAACTGAAATTAGATATCTACGGAAAATTATGTTTCATTTGCTAATTTAATTTATATTATAATTAAATGCACTGTATTGTCTGCTTAACCATTTACTTCCACAAAACATAAAATGAAAAAATAAATCATTGAATTACCTTTGTTGGCACATGGCACATGGGGTACTTGAGTTTGCAACGTTGCCATATTATCAAAGTTTCTACAGGTTTCATGTTATAGATAGATGAGAGTTCAGAGCTAATTTGAAGTACTAAAAATTGCTTGTTTTATATAGTAAGTTAAAAATTTAGGGAAAATCACGAATTTTTTAGAAAAATGTAATCAAAAATTGTAATTTTATAGCTTATTTGCCTTATTATTGATATCGAACATGTATGTATTATTCACAAAACAATTAGGGTAGTATTTTATATTCATAAAGACACGAAATATAAGATATGAAAAGAGACATACGTATCTGTGATTTTTTACTTTTAAATTTTCGTGGTGTGGCATTTAAATCTTTTAAGTAGCAATTACTGACTTTATGAAAAATGAAATTTAATAAATTAATAGATTTTATGAGAGTTTATAATAAATTCGCGCGAATTT